AAAAAAAATATTAAATTTAAGTAATATAATATTTAAGTAAAGTGGATAGAAGAATAAAAAAGAATCACATTTAGTTGTATTATTGAAAATGATTAAAGGAATGTAATATGACCCCAGCTGAAAACGAAAACTGAGAGAGAATCATGTGTGCTGATTCCATGTCCAAAACGAACTCAATTATGTTTTTGCATCTTCATGGCCCTACGCAGCGTAAGCAGACCCAAATAATATTCCTCCGCTCGCAAAAACACAAGGCGTTCCCTGAGGCACATGGGCAAAGGAGTCATTGATGTTTAATCTTCCAATAAATAAAGCTTTGAGAGTCGAACGTTTCCATGGCAAAGAGGAAAAATAAAAAAATGAAACCTTGTCCCATTCAAACCCTCAATCGATTCATTCCACTGGTTAAAGGGCCAGTTTCCAATCCAATTACTATTCAGGAGACAACTGGAAAGAAAGCTTCCAATTTGCACGTGTGCTATGCCTGCAGCTTCATTATTGAACTTGTGCATTGATCATCATGGAAAGAGAAAAAAAAAGAACTTGTGCATTTAATCATCAGAAGTTTTATTGTATCACAAGGATATATATATATATATATATATATCTCAAATCAATAATGATAGAATAATAAATATAGCATTGTATATGGCCCATCTTGTATGTATGGCTTAGGCCCAATATCTCATTGTATTGTATATATAGACAATTCTTAATGAGAAAATCATGAGAATTTCCCATTCTTTATGGTATCAGAGCAATAATTAGGGCACCAAAATTGTTTTCGTTTTCTTAGAGTCACGTCTAAGGGTTTTCTCTTTTCTGCCGTTGTTTTGCTTTCCTTGTGTCTGAGCATTTCTTCTTCTTTTGATATCTCTTCGACTTCACCTGTTATAATCACTCAAACCTCTCCCTCGTCAGTCTCAACCTTAACACCAATGCTTCCTACTAGTACCCTGGATGCCACATCTCTTTCCTCTATATATTCTCATCCTTTGTTTTCGGTTTCCAATATTAGAAATTTTGTTTCTAAAGTTCTCAATCATCACAATTATATTTTGTGGAATGAGTTGATGATTCCATTTATACGCAGCAAAGGGGTTTTTGGTCATCTAGATGGATCTGATCCTTGCCCTCTAATAACAAATCCGAACTTTAAACAATGGCAACAGATTGATTATCAGATTCTCACCTGGATTCAAGCAACAATTTCATCTGAGATTTTACAATTCATAATTCAACCAGGTAGATCTCTCACAGCTAAACAGGCTTGGGATGCAATTGAGTTGGCATATCATGATCAGCTTGAGGCCAATGCCATATTATGTCGTCAGGAATATGCTGCTCTGAGGAAGGAACCCAATCAGTCTATGATAGAATACCTTCAACATGCCAAGAAAATAGTAGATCATCAACTATATTTTATCAATGATCATGTTTCTGATCGTGATTTGGTGCTTCGTGTTTTGGTTGGCTTGGATTCATCTTACAGTGTTTCTAAACGCACTATTCCACAAAGAGTGCCTTTCCCATCTTTTCTACAACTTTGGTCACTTCTCTTGATTAAAGAAGCCAATTTACAACATGAAAACAGTCACAATTATGCTGCCGAGTCTTATTACTTTATGTTGATGATATCGTTCTGACTGCCTCTATTGCTTCTTTACTTTCTGAGCTTATTGCACTTTTGAAGAAGGAATTTCTTATGATAGATTTGGGTGACTTGCATTATTTTTTGGGTATTACTACAAAAGTTAATTCTGCTGGTTTATTTTTGAATCAGTCAAAGTATATTCATGAACTTCTTGATTGAAGTGGTATGATAGATTGTAAACCGGTGGCTACACCTCTGGATTCTCAAAAGAAATTGGCAGCTAATGATAGTCCTCGTTATTCCGATCCTTCTGGCTATCGTAGTATTGTTGGTGCCTTTCAATATGTCACTTTTACTCATCCAAATATTTCTTTTCTTGTTCAGCAAGTTTGTCAGTACATGCATGCTCCTACTATTAATCATTTTCAAGCTGTGAAATGAATTCTTTGATACTTAAAAGGAACATTACATTATGGTCTTCAACTTCAGAAGTTTTCCTCCTTTTCTCTTCACATCTTTACTAATGCTGATTGGGCAGGTTGTTTAGACACCCGTCGATCTACATCTGGGTTTTGTTTATTTCTTGGTAATTCTTTTATTTCTTGGTCATCTAAGAAGCAACCTACAGTTTCTCGATCTAGTGCAGAGGCAGAATATAGGGCAATTGCTAATGCCATTGTAGAAGTAGCATGGGTTCAACAACTTTTGTTTGAGCTGTGGTTTCCTATTCACTCTCCTACAATTATTTACTATGATAATGTAGTGCTTTGTATATGTCACTCAATCCTGTGCAGCATCAACGCACCAAACATATTGAAATTGATCTCCATTTTGTTCACAAAAGAGTTGCTTCTATTTGATCTCTTTATGGTATGTTTCCTCTTTCCTTCAGTGGGTTGATATTTTGACAAAGGGTCTTCTGGTACATCAGTTTCATCTTTTAAGAAGCAATTTATGCATTCTTCCCAATCCCGCACAAATGGAGGGGGGATGATAGAATAATAAATATAGCATTGTAAACAGCCCATCCTGTATGTATGGCTCAGGCCCAATATCTCATTGTATTGTATACATAGACAATTCTTAATGAGAAAATCATGAGAGTTTCCCATTCTTTAAATAAAAATAACAAGATATTTTTATTTTTTTGAAAACAAAGGGCTTCTCTACTAAAAAAAAGTAAGAAGTCCCAAAAAAAAAAAGGTGTTCCCTCGAAAATCTCTAGTCAGCTCTAAAAGGATGGCTAAAAAGATCGTTTGTGAAATAAATTGCGATATTACAAAACAAAAGGTAAAGTTCTACAAAATGGATTACTAGTTGACATGGACACCTTCAAGAACTTTACAAGCACTAAAGTGTAACACAAATTACAAATCCTAAATTAACCTAATAGGAAATAAAAAAAAGAAAAAAGAAAATAACATGCCACAGAAATAAACTCGCAAACAATAGATTGTGCAAGATTATAGACACTGATTTTAACTTCACAATCCATAACAATTAAACTAGTTATTGGCAGATTTAAAATAAAAATAATTGAACTACTTGATTGCTAAAACTAAAGGAGAATCTACATAATGATCAAAGTCTGGAAACTTATAAAATTAAATCTTAATCTAGAAATTGAAATTAAACAAGTGGCAGTTGTGTGGAAACAAATAAAAGAAGGCATAAAGCATTCAACCTATTTACATAAACAAATAACAAAGATGAATCCATAAGAGAAAGCAAAACTAACCAAATAAGTAAGGTAGACCCGTTTTCAAGGCTGATCTGCTTCCAAATCCTTAAAAACTAATCAAAGTTGCAATATTTGAGGGAAAATAGGAAAAACCTAAACTAAAGCTATGAACAAGAATAGATCTTGCACTCTAATATGGAAATTATGATGAAATTTGGAAGAAACAGTTTGAAAATTGGAAAAGCATGCGTGCTAGACAGGTTTCTATAGGGCAGGCTGCGTAGTAACTGATTTTTTCCTCCTATTTTCCTTTTCTTCAATGCTGGGAACCTTCCTCCATGATTTTCGACCCTCTTTCATCATAAATGAATAGTGGGTGCTCCACATTTAAGGCAGTTTTCTTTTGTTTGGCAACTAACAATTTAATCTAATTTCAATTCAAATGAAACCCTAATAGTAACCTTCTCTTAAAAACACTCAACTTCCTAATTTAAATTAGATTCAACCACTAAATAAATTATTTTATCATCTGCAACATAAGTTCAACCCACCATAAATTCCGTTTGGATTGTAAATTTTCAAGTTGGCCCAGCCTAACCCAACCTACTGACTCTCTTTACATGGATTTAATAGCTGGGTCTCAACTTGACACGTGACCTCGTTCCATTAGTTTTATTTTTAGGTATAAACAAAAGGTAAGAAGAATTAAAGGGGGTTATGACCAATTGAGTAAGTAACATTAGAAAAAATATATATAAATATATATAAAAGGAAGGAATAAAATTATGAGGCCGAGAGAAGGATTAAATTTATTGTTACCATAACTTTTATTAAGACTACTAATTTAATTGTAATTTTATCAATTTACATATTTTT